TAACTGGCTGTACCTGTCTGTCAGGTCTCTGTCCTGGCCCCCTTGAACCACCCTGTCAATGCGGGAGAAATTCTCTGCCTCTGTTCCCACCGGGATGGGATGGCTGCCTAGAGCCTGAAGCCCCACGGCCACCTTCCCCCAGTCCCTGCAGAGATGGAGGGAGGCGGTGTGAGAGATGGAGAATGAAAATCTGTGAGCAGAGCGGTGTTAGCAGAACCTGACAGCAAATAAAAAGTCTTGAGCTGTGCAGGGAGATGGGTGATGAGGGAGGATACATGGGCAAGTACCTGCTTCCCAGTGTCTCTGAAGTACCTGGAGATGGCTGAGAGGAACCACAAGTTACCTTGGCAAGGGAAGAGAGAGAGGGTAACCCGAAGTGCAGTAATTATACACGTACCATGGCCGAATATCCTCCAAATGGGGAAATAGTAACATTTGTGAAGATAACATGTAATAATGAATAAGCTAATACATCCTTATGACTTTTTCCTCAGAAAATAGGGCACCTGCTTGTATGACTTGTATCTTTTCTCTAAGGAAACGGGGAATGTGCATTTTAAGACATACTGCCAAAATTGAAAGCTCATTATGTGACAGAATTAGCAGAGAGAAATCCCATGTGACCAACTGTTGTATTTATAACACTAGCTTTGCCATATATAAAGGTACATGCAATTTAATAGCATGCATGTTGTTTTAATGTTCTCCTTAAATCATGCACAGAGTATTTATATACTTCTGGATATTCTAGCTTAGAAATGGCTTATTTTCTAGCTAGACTAAATGGTTATTCATGGTTCTATGGTTATTTGATTAAAAATTTTATAAAAAAATATATAATGTTAGTGTTGTAAGCCTAGAGTTATAACAACAGTAACATTTCTGTATCGTTGCAAAGCAAAATTACCAGTTTAAATGATGTCTCTGAAGTTGTGTGGAAATAATTTAATATTTGTGTTAATTCCATAGCAGTGCCTACAATGAAACCTTCAAATCAAAAATTATCCTCTAAGGTGAACAGTGATGCGCTAAACCCTGAGAGTGCATTTACAAAGAGAAAGAAGCGACACCCAGATGACTCAACACATCATACTGTGGCCATGGTCGTTATATACCGATCCCTGGGACACCTCCTGCCTGAAAACTATGATCCTGACCGAAGGAGCTTGAGGTAAACTTCAGACCTATTTGTGAATTGTGCACATCCCTTCTTCCACTTGCTTTGAGTGCACAGGGAAGGCAGAGCTGCGTTTTTGCTGACCAAATCTCATCTGTGCTGCAGTTGTCACTGCAATACTGTCTCTTGTCCTCCTCTGGTACGCTGTGGGAGAATAACCACATCAGTAGTGCCAGCAGCTTTTGGAAATGGAAACACAGCTGTGTGGAAGGCTGAAGGGGCATCTACTTAATTTTCTGGGTGGAAGCTACTGGAAATCTTTTATTTGCAGAACCTGCCAAATCAATGCTTTGCATTTTAACTTTTAGATCATTTTACAATTTTTCTCCTTCTGCAGGTTGCCAAATCGCCCTATTATTAACACACCTGTAGTGAGCACAGCCATTCACAGTGACGGGGAGCTTCCTCCCAACCTGATGGAAAAGCCCATCATAGTGGAGTACGCCATGCTGGAAACAGAGGAGAGAACGAAGCCCGTCTGTGTCTTCTGGAATCACTCCATCACGTGTGTATCCTGCTTGGTTTAGGCCTGTGCGTGGCAACTGTCTCAGTAGCAGAGAAGTTCCACCCAGGAAGATAATTCTGGAGGAAAACCCTTCTTACTCAAGTTTATTCAACTGGCAACTGATTCCTGGTGGAATAGAGCCATGTAATGACTTCCCACAAACCTGAGAAAAATGAAAATAATCATCATAACTCCTCAAACAAAGGATTAGCCATGTAGTTTCTAACAAACACAGTGCCGTCATGTCTTTCTGCAGGGTTCATTTTCACCCAGCAGTAATAACTCTCACAATTTCCTTCTATTTGCTCATGCTTTTTGCCCACAGATATGTATCTGGACAGGCACAGTCCAGCTCCAGTGCCTGAATTCATGGCTTGTCTGAAGTCCCTAATGCCCTCTTTTAAGGAGGGCATCTCCAGGAGATGATTCAGTTCCTGCATGGGCTGAATCTTCTGTTACACTCCAGTGACTGTGGGCAGAGTACATGGCAAGCAGGCACCCACCCTTGATACCTCAGCCAGGGCCAGTGCAAGAAATTACAAAACCAAGTCTTCATGTTGGTAAAAAGGAGGACTGAGGTTTTGCAGATAAAATTATATGAGTAGAGATTATAAATTTTTGAATCTCAAATTTTTTAATCAAAAGTCAACCCAAAGACAGTTGCACTGATAAGAAGCAACTTACCTTTCATTCCATCAACTGTTGTGGATTTGCTTTCGTTTGTTTTAGGGGAAAATTGGAGGGAGAGGAAATATCTTCTTTGGGACCTTAGACCTCTTCCAGTTGTTAAGAAGCAATCCTAATACATAAGCAGAACATAAGCAAGGAGTATTTGACTCTCTTGGAGGGAAGTGTGAGGGAAAAGATGAAATAGTCTGAAAATGGCTTATTTAGGTCTTTTGTATTCAGTAAAGTCAAAGATACAGACTATTTTTCTTGAAAATGTGAAAAATGTTAAGCATTGTATATGCTCGTGTTTTGTTGGGTTTATGGCATTGTGGAAACAGCACAGTCCTGTTGGAGATATTTCAAGAGTGTGGATAAAGCAAAAGAAAATGTGTTGAGAGGTAACTACATGCTCTGCACATTATGATTTCACTTACATAGATAATGCAATTTTCAACCATAAAACCAGGTATATAGTGAGAGGATAATATTGCCTGCCCAAGGTAAGAGGAATAGCTGTTACTTGTTTCCTAATGATCAAAAAACTCTAGTAAACCTATGGAAAAATCCATTAAAAGGCAATATCCTGTGCTGGAAATAAAAGAGCAAACTAACCTAGGAAATGTTTGCCTCCTAGTCAAAAGCTTCAGGGGATTATGTCGTTGGAAGGATCGACGAGGCAACAGAAATCCGTTATGTTAGCAATAATAAACTACTCTTTGCCTGCATGTGAAGTAGTGTAATTGCCGCTATGTACAGATGATTCTGCCAACCTTGAGAGAATGGCGAGTCCTTTTTCATAAATTTTTAAACATCGTATGGGCTTGAATAACTCATTAGCTCTAAAGTGATTCATCTATTAACTATTTGCTGGCAACTTCAATGGCATTGTTGTCTGTGTTACATCTTCCTACAGCCACAGTTAAAAAGCAGCTCTTAAACTGCATGTAACAACAGAGTTTTTAGAAAGTGAGTACTTTTCAAGAGAAAGTGATATTAAAACTGTTTAACAAAGATTTTATTGATGAATGAAGATAATCTCCTGTAATATCTAACTAAAAACTCTTTCAGTAACAACAAGAGTATTTTTATTGCTCATTGACTTTGGAATAGAATAATTAGTATTGATACAAAATAATTTCTGAAGTCACTGGAGTTAACCAAAGCTGAACAGGGAACAATTTTTAAGGGAGCAGTTTCTCCCCAAATTTAATACAAGAGATCTCCTGATAGAAAATACTATTTAGTGGTTTTAACCTTTTCTTGTCTACTTTTTAGAGGAAAACTATGATAAAAGCATATTACTGCTGAAACATTTCATATAGGAGTTTTACAAGCAGTATCTAAATCTAGGCAAATAGAGGTGACTCATAAACGTGTATCTCTGTGGTTTTTCTATTTTTTTACCTTTGTTACAGCCAGTTTGCTCTGTGCAATCACTTCCCCATATTGCTTGTGTGGTCATTCACCCAAAAAGCAAAGATTTTTTATTAAAAAAAACTCAAACCAATTTGTTATAAAACCACAAAATTTGGCCGGTAAAGCCAGGTGTCATGTCAGGAACTACTTCAGCTGCAGGCTTTTTAAGTTGATTATATTTCAGGCAGGTGACAGCTATAAATATTTCTGTCTTGGTACTTACAGTCCTCTTTGGTTGCGGAGCAAGAGCTGCAATGGCAACAGGAGGCAAGGGGAGATCAGAGGATGGCTCTCAGAAATGCCTTTTTTTCCCCGCAGGATTGGTGGGACAGGTGCCTGGTCCTCCAGAGGATGTGAGCTGTTTTCCAGAAACCATAGCCATATCGCTTGCCAGTGCAACCATATAACCAGCTTTGCTGTCCTGATGGACATTTCGAAACGAGAGGTGGGTGATGCCAGACTCATGATTTTCAAGGGCTTTGGTTTTCAAGAGCTTTGATTCAGATCTTGAGCTTGAGCTGTGAACATGACTCAGAGCGTCATCAGCGGATCAATCCCATGTTGCAGTGTGTCAGGAACATGTTGCCTCATGTCTGACAGCACCTGCAGCAGGGTCTGCTGAAAGGAGCTTCTTACCTGGTTGGTGCATAGTGTAGCCATCAACGCAGAACTGCACCAGACTGCGCTGCAGAGAGCCAGGAGTGAGACAAGGATTACAGACACATGGTAGTTGTGTCATCACTTGATATTAGGTCCATCTAGAATTATGATGGCAGGGAAAATGGCATAAACACCATAGGTTTTTCAGCATCTCAGGGTAGCCTCAACAGGGGCAGTCCAGCATCAAATTCACCAGGATTCTTCCTTAACTCTCTGCTCCCTCTGGGTACTGCTGCCCATACACACTCAACATGGTGAGTGACTTAAGAGGTGGCATCAACTCCCGTTGGTCCTAAAGCAAATCTGTATGTTGGCTTAGAAGTAATGAAAACATTGACTTTCCAAGTAGTAGATTCGATTGGAGGAAAAGGAATGAAAAACTCCCAGAGGTCCTGTCAGTCTGTTTTTCTACAGAATGGGGAGGTGCTTCCCCTGAAGATCGTCACTTACACAACCGTATCCATCTCGCTGGTGGCTTTGCTGATCACCTTCATACTGCTGGTCCTGATCCGCACGCTACGTTCCAACTTGCACAGTATCCACAAAAACCTGGTGGCTGCCCTTTTCTTCTCTGAGCTTGTCTTTCTTATTGGAATCAACCAGACTGAAAACCCGGTAAGAGTTACTCTGTGCTTATTGCTAGAGTTGTTGTCAAGCTTTAAATCAGGGGGTTTACACTGCGACTTTTACTGCTCCCATCTGTTTCACTTTCTCTTCTTTTTTACTTCTGCTTGGCCTCAACAGTCATTTGAAAACCATCAGACTTTTAATATATTCTTGTGTGTTTTAATATTAATAGCAATGCAAGGAGATAAGACTATATCTTATTTTCAGAGAACAGATAATAGCAGCCCTGTTGAAGGCTTATCCCAGGAACTGAACCCTGTGTATTGATTTCTTCCTTCCTTTCCGTCAGTATGTTTTCTGTCTTGCTTTGTCTGTTCAGTAGGAGGCTCTCCAGTTTCTCCTGCAGCATGTATCTCACAAGCCCAAATGACTCCTGGTGTTGACTGGTAGGTTCTCAACAATGGATTGCTGTGCAGGTGCTAATATGCATGTTGCACACCCACTATGGCCATTCTGGAGAAGCCACTTGCCAGGCATGGGACAGCTTGCTTCGTCCAAGAATTAGTAGGAAACCTGTTGCTTTCCTTCGTGCCTTCCAGCCACAGTGACTGTTGGCTTCAGCCCATCATATCTGTTGCCAAAGCTTAGTGCAGGCACCTCCAGCCTTGTGCATGTCAAGAAACACAAGCTATGAATGGGCTGAATATAAGGTACATGCCACACATGAAGTGTGTATGTTCTGTGCCTAGGACCTCATTGCTATCTTAACTATGTACCATGACATGTAGTATTGCTGCTAATTCTTAGCAGCACCCATCTCAAAAGTGACGGTTACCATGCAGTCAGGTAGGAGACAAGCAGGCAAGGGTTCCAGCAGTGCCAGGCTTCACAGTCACCTTTACCAGTCAGTAGACAGATGGGGGATGACATGCAATAAAAAGTATGTCCTTAACAGATATGAAGAATATTCAGAATGTTAGTGTTGGGATTATCTGAACACTCTGAAGAAGAGAATTTCTGTTCTAGAAATCCTTTGCTGTACATGTTTCAATCTAAATTTTGAGAGGAAAGTACAATCTTGAGATGAAAACACAAAAAAAAAAATCAACCACGCTGATTCCACATTGTCCAAGCAGCAGAAATGGGATAAAATGCCTACATTCAATAGGTATCATCACCGTTATGTTAACACCACTATTGTGCCTGACCATGTAGCCTCACTTACTTAACTTAAGCCTAAAGTGTCACTCTGGATTCTGGTATCTATTTGAGGTGTAACATTCATTTTAGAAAGTATCTGACCTTGACTAGGAGATTTGATGTGATGGCAGAGTCCCTTATCTCTGTTAGTGTAAGGTGTCATAGTGTCTCATCCCAGTTAAACATGCGGTCAGATTTTGTCTAATTTCAACTTCCAGTAACTGGGTGCTGTCAAGACCTTTTCCTAGTAAATTCAAGACACCTCTCTTATAAAAATTGTCTTCTCAGGAAGCCTCTGTTCAATAGTATTTCTTTTTGAAAACTAAATAAAATTAAGCTGCTTAAATTCTTCAATTTCTAAGATTCAGGTTATTCTGTTGCCTTTTTTCTGGGCTTTCTTCCCCCACTTTACCTTTTGGAATATTATGAATGCTAAACTGGATGAAGCTTTCCAGCTGGTAGTGTCACTTCCAGTCCCATATTCTGGTATTCCCCTGCACCAGGAACTCCAGTTATCTGCTGCTACAGTGAGGTCTTCTGCAGTGACCTGCCCTCTGGGATATGGTCTCACATCCTGTGTGACCCATGTTGTCTTTGTTTCGCAATATACGAGTTTGCATACTGAAATAACTTTGCCCAAATGAACTCCCTTGCCAACTGATCCACAGTAGTCCAGGTAACCTGACCTTTCCCATGCCTTCTTGAGCACACCACTCATTTTTCACTGCATTTCACTAGCAGGGAGTTTATACTCTTTCAGTTCTCTGACACAAATACTGAGGAGCAAGGGGCCAAGACCACATCCCTGGAGGATCTTACCAAAAATTATGCTGTAAATGATGGCTCCTCATTTACAGATTCCTTTCATAGCATCATGAAGCACCAAGCAAAGATTTGTAAGAGTAGTAAACCAGTTCATTACAGCAATACCACAAATACTAATGGTCGTACTTGGTGAGATTGTTCTCTTTTGCTCCTTCTCGTTTTCATGCTTTGGGGCTCATGGTATGATCATGTCCTGTACTGTTACCGGGACTAAATGAAACACCCCAAACCTTTAACCCACTTAAAAAGATCTTCAAGTTACAGAATATATTTCATACGGCAGAAAGCCACTCCTTACAGCCTACCCAGTCAATTTGAGAAGTTAGGAGGGCTGTAAGCCATGTCTTGCTTGAGACAATTATTCATCTGTCTGTATGGAATGAGAGTTGTCTAACGAGTCATGCACTGATGAACATAAAGAGGGTAGGAATGCTGGAGCACAAATAATGCTGCGCTGCTTGGCACTCAGCCTGGCTTTTATGGGTTTCTGTAAATTAACAGTCACATTTCTGGGTGAGGTTTTAATCTTTCCCTGGACTATTGATAGAAAGTGATTTATTTTCTTTCTTTTTACTTACCTGAAAAAGGTAATGTTCAGGGCAGCAGTCTACTCATATGCATGTGCCAGTAGGAACAATAAAAGCCCTGCTTACATAGAGAGAAGAAAGGTCTTTTATTGGTGAGCTATATTTTCAATAACACTTGGTGTTATAATAAAGCTGATGCAGTAAGTGAATCCAGAAAGTTGGCGGTCTTTGTATGATTCCTTCACTCAGCGAAGTTAACCAGGGAAACTTACGTTTCTGAGCATTATACCATGAGAAACCACTAAAAAGTCATGCCAAAATCTGAAAGCAGGATCAGTGCTGCATGAGAACAAAAGGATTCAAAACACAATGTAAAACATTTTGAAACAAAAGTTGAATGGTTACACAAAGTGCTCTTAATTCAAGCTTATCAACAGATCCTTGGCAAAATCCTTTGCTTTGCTTCTGAAAGAAGAAGGTTAATTTTGAGGTTTCAGTTCAGGTGTCAGATGCTTCTGGTCGTTCCTGTTTTCACCCATCGAACCATTAAGTTGGGAAGGAAAGCTGGCTAGCAGATATTACAGAAATGCAAGTCTATGAAGGTCAGAGGTTTCAAGGTGGCCATTTGGTCACAAAGATGACTTCAGCTACAAGTTTGCCCACTGTAGCTGTGTCTCCTAGTCACACTAAGGACTCAGTCTCTTTGGTTTCAGCAGGTCCTTCATTTCTGCAGCTCTCAGCCTGGCAGAGCTGAGTGGTCCGCCTTGTACTGCTGACATAGGATAAAAACCAAATCCAGACCCTGGGACTGGAAGCTCCAGATCCCCTTATTCCTAGCCGAAGACATGAACTTCCCAGCCAGCACTAGCCTGCTTTCTGCTTGTCCTCATGACTTCTGTGCCTGACTACAAGTAGCACAGCCTCAAGAGAAGGGTAGAGCTGAGCATTTCTGGATCTAGAATATGCTACAGCCTGGGGGCTGGGGCAATTTTCTGCAGTGAACAAGAAGGGGGTTAACCCCCCTGCTCAAGCCAGGTAGGGTCTAGAAGCCACTCTCCCACTTTGTAGTTAAATAATCTGATTTTGACATTAGATAAAAGGTTGATTCCACTTTTTGGATTTATCTACAGAGTAGGTGGTGATCTGCTTCTGGCTGCATCATTTTAGTCCAGTGATAATGGCCAGGCATCCTCCATGACTCGTTGAAATATAGATTTGGAAGGTCAGAGAAGGGCACAGCTGCAAGGACAAAAGAGACGGACACTGCCTTACCCCATGGATGCATCCATGCTTTTATTTCTCAATCTTTTTTTAAAAAGAGTCCCAGAAAAGGAGCTGTAGATGGAACAGACCTTTTCAGACCTATGGCACAGTCACATAGGGGCAAAACGGTCTGCTGATCTTATGCTAGATTGTAAGATCACATCAAATTTTGCCTATTTTTGAGACAGACATTTCATTTAACTGATAAGAAAATTCGTCAAAGAAAAGCTGGATTTCTTTAGTTAAGGTCTACAGATCATCTGTTGCTCATATCAGTGTGTTCACTTTTGCTGGGCTGAAGTTTCATGGATTTCTGTCCCCAGAAGTAAAGTTTTTCAGAGCAAGGACTTTCTCAGGGACTGGTCCTAAACTGAAGACCTAAGATCTGTCTCACACCTCTCCTCCACCTCTGCCAAACACAAAGAGAGTTTCTTTGTACTTTTTTGTCTACTAATATCAGGCACAAAACATGGTCTACTTTAAGACAAAACAAAACTGTACCAAAATAGCACACTTCCTTGGATAAAGAGATGTATCTCTCTGGAAAGAATGAAGTAGCAGAAAAACCCATAGGAGGGCCCTTGATGTGGAAGTGGGAGACAGCAAGTCAGTGCAGGGCTGAAGGTGGCCGTTCTCAGGAGCAATTTGTTGGCTTTGCAGTGAGACCGGTTTAGCTGATGCAGTTAAACACGCTGTGGCCGAATTCAGTGTAGTGGCATTGTGCATGTGAGACTCATACACGAGACAGGGCAGAGGGTCTGCAGCCTCCATAGGAGCTTCCCCACCTCCTGCTCAGCACCACGAGAAAGAGTTGGGAGCTCCGCCAGCCCTGCCCCTCCTGTGAGCAGAAGGAATTCAGTCAGAATAGCCAAAATCCTCACCTGTGCAGCAAATATGCACAGAGAAATTAACTACAGAATGTGGAGGGCAAGGGCAGTGACGAAAAGTGTGTTGGGTTGATAGGGTAAAGCTAAACCAGACTCAGAACAGGCCACATAATTTTGGGTTTTTTTTAAAAACTTTCACAATATGAACAGCTTTTCTACAATTCTGAAAAACTTAATTAATGGCAGTATATCTGTTCTGCCAAAACCTTTTTATTACACTTGCCTTTAGCTGCATGGGGGAGCTGGTGACTCACCAGGTTGTGATTAAGATGAGCAACTCTAATTTCCCTGCCCCTTCCCTTCTGCAGTTTGTGTGTACTGTGATTGCCATTCTCCTGCATTATTTCTACATGAGCACCTTTGCCTGGATGTTCGTGGAGCAGCTCCACATCTACCGGATGCTGACTGAAGTGAGGAACATCAACTTTGGGCACATGCGGTTCTACTACGTCGTTGGCTGGGGCATTTCTGCAGGCGTTTCTCCTCCGTGGTTGGCGGGGCCATCCCTGCCATCATAACAGGTACCCTCAACCACTATAAAACAGCTTTGTTTTCCTTCCCTGCCATCTTCACTGGCCAGATTCAGGAAGGTTGCCCCATCCAAGACAGCTATGGGTGCACTCAACTACTGCTGTCACTTCAGTGTTTTCCTGAATGAGGGCAACGCCAAATCATGTCTAGCTGACTTTTGCAGATCTGTGTACCAAATGCCTGTTGCCCCAGTTCAAGTGATATTGAGGGTTTTACAATAACATAAACCTAATTGCACCCAGATTAAAACAGGACTTGATAACATTGCTTGGGAATAACAGTATTTTTATTTTAACAACTTTGCCTGTAGCCTTCAGAAATTTTCCTTCCCTGTGCTGGTACCTTGGGATATGGACACACAGTCTCTCGGGGAGGTAGCTGCAGTGGCTTCAGCCACAATGCTGCCCACAGGGCACTACTGCCCTTCACTGGACGTTCGTGTTGCCTACTCTCGACCAGCAGTGAATGCTCCCCGAAGGGGATTTCAGCAGTTCTATTTTACTTGGCATAAAAATGAGCTGGGAACACTCAAGCAGCCTCTTACTTTTTTTCAGATACAAAGGCAATAACTTCCAGTTGAGGAAAAGTAATGAAAAGCTGGAGGCAGTAATCTTTTAAACTGTTCCAGGGTGATCCACAGGAGCACATCCATCTCCGCCCTCACCATGCCTATTTTTGCAATCAGACATTTCCAGTGCTACCCTAAGCACATGGTGCTGTGTTAATTCGGGCAGACAGCTCCTCGGGAAGTGCGCTTCACAGAACAGTTGGAGAGGGGTTTTTTGGTTCAACTATTTCAGCATGTATCTGTTGCCATATGGGAAATCACATCATAGGCAGACAGTTAAATTTTATCCAATTACTTTTATTTTTACAGATAGCAACATACTGTCAGCAATGGCAGAGGTTTAGATGTCCCTCAAATCAAACAAATAGCTATCACTCGTATACACTTGGAAAAATACTGTGGAACAACTCAGAATTTTAAAAATGTATGGGTTTTTTTCCGATGTGACTTAAGAAAGTGAAATACAGAAACATAACATAGGTTAGTACAGGTTAGCTTTCATTCTGGAGAGCTCATAAGTTTTTTCCATATCACCTAGTGCATAAGTAATTTCTGCTTCTATCAATTTATGCTGAACACAGTGGAAGGTACAGCCTAGAAGGCTCTGCCACTCTAGACATATCTGACATTTTAAGTAGAAATCGTCCTTGAACTTCCAAAATATTTTGGACCTGTGTAACTTTTAACACTACATACAGGACTACTGCAATATACTTAGGAACGTTGAAGTGCCATCAGACAGTTGCCAGCATCATTTCTGGTAGAAAAGAAGTATTATCATTAAATAGCAGTAAAAAACTTGAGTTTCAGAAGACATAACTCTTCGAAAATTTTGTCAGAAGGATTTTCTGTTTCATGTTTAGTTTCTCTCCTGAATTTTAAATTAATTCAGAACTTCTCAACAGCAGTATTATGTAATCTAAATGGTACAAGTACACCATTTTTACATTTTTCTACTTAGATATTGTTTTCTGTGATATGGAACTATTTTGCACTTTTAAAACTCTGAGTTACTGTTCCAGGTTGTCTCCTCTAATTTAAACTCTAAATCTACTAAATTTGCAGTTCATTTAAATGAAAAGTGAGATCCCTCTTACTGAGAAAGTCAGAGGATTTTGTGAAACGAAGGATAAAGAAAACTAAGCCTTTAGTTTGCCCTTCCAGGTTTAGAAATCATCTGAAGAGAAAATGATTTCATCATAAGTAGCACAGTGTGGGATTTCTTGGCCCTGGAAAACTTTGTTACTGTACATATTTTAAATAAGCTGCTTTTATAAATTTTAAATTTTAGTATCTAAACAGTAAAAAGGTTCCAACTTCATAACGTGATCTTAAATACAATTTCTTTTAAACTGCTTTATGAGAGAAGGATTGAGTATGTTTCTTAATAGTGAAAAAGTCTAGATATGAGAAGGGATTTTAGTCTTGGACATCCAAAGGACTTTTTTGTTTTATTTGAAAGATAAATATCTAGCCCATTTCATCTTTATCACAGCTGTCCTGAAAAAAAAAAAAAAAAACCCTGAACGTACAGTAGCAGTGGCTTTACTCTGTTTTGTTTATTTATTTTTTCTCTTTCCATGCTCAAACTGACATTCATTTCAAGCTGGGACATAGTAGTCCTAAGGCATCTGTGATGGGACCTTACTTCCATACTTGCAGAATGGAACCTTGACCTTTAGGGGGAGAAAAAACTTAGCAAAATATTTATATAGGGGACACTCGAGCAGGGAAGAACCACATTTAATCATAGCATAGAAAAGCAAAATTCCATGAATAAAAGTAGGATGGAAGTTGGGAGAAGGCTTACAGCCATCAAAAGAGTGCGGATCTGGAATATTCCTCCATGGGGAGCGATAGTGGAACATTTTAAATTTGTTTTAAGCTTGCTCATTTTAAAATGTAGTTTGATCCATCTAGGGGAGGGATTTTATGACTTCCTTGCCTCAGGAGCAAAGGGCTGGATTTGGCACCCAGCAAGACCCCTCCAGTTCTGCATGTCTTTGTGGCAACACGCTAACCGGTTGGCAAACGTGTGCTGTAACTGCTTTGCCATGGAGACTGCAGTGCTCATGTTAAAACAGGTTCTTACATAGCCCTAAAACCGATATCCCCCCCAAAAATGGCACTTTCCAAGTCTGGTATTTGCTGTGAATACTAAGCGAGGTAATGAGTCAGGAGAGAGGTGAGGCTGACCTGCAGTTGCCTGAGTCACATGCGGCTGCTGAGCCCACAGGAGCTCAGAAGGTTCAAAACGTGCCCCTCCGGCAGCACCTCCCCATGGCATGCTCTTGACACGCTCCCGGGATGGGTGCTGGTCCCCACAGGACACTCGGCTCAGCCGTAGGATCAGCCCCGGTTTCTGCCAATGTCAGTGTGCTATCATGCAGCCCACATGTTTAGTCTGTTCAGGACAACCAGGCTGGAGCATTTAATTGATGTGCCAAAATGATTCTCTGTGTTACATTGCATTGGCTTAATTCTGCCTTTGGGTAAAGTGTTATTTCACATATTGTTGACTCCAGTAAAATTTGAACCACGTACCTGAAGACTGCAATTTGCCCCATTTGTTTAACGGAGAACTTTAGGGTAGGATTTTGAGAGTGAAAAAATGTTGCTGACTGCCAATTACTTTTAGAGCCAGATGTTTGGTCAAAACATAGTTTAAGTCCCACTAATGGGGAAATCAAGTCCTGGGAAACAGGCTGTGTCTATAGAATTACATCTGTATAAAATACTTTATGGGCCCTTAATCATTTATGCCTAATTCTTTCTGGATGGCAACTGCTGAAGGGGGTGGTGGAAGGGCCAATAGGAGCAGAGAGGGAGACCAGTCCTATCTCATTCCACACTTCAGAGAAAACAGATCCAATATCCACTGCTTTGCCAAATAGCCAGTTTAATTTTCATAGACTGTAGGCTTGTACCAGATGTGAATGTTGGCTGTGGGCCAGCTTTAAGCAGTGAGAGTGAAACGCAGCTACCTCTCCCTTTTACAGTGTATTTTCATCAAAGCCCACAGGCTTCAATTCAGAAAAAGGCGTTTATTAATGCACATGAATTCTCCTTGCGGAGAACGGCACTGCCCTCGACCTTGGCCGCCTGCTTGAGGCAGGACATACGCTCAACGCAATAGGTGCCCCCAATGCCCAGACAACATGCTGCAGCCATTTACCATATGTCATTGGCCATAGGCCTCGTAGGGATCAATTTCTGTGTCTTGAAGAAGGAAGACCTCTGCAGTATTTTGCAGGCCAAAGGCAGCAATCCCAGTCTGTTGCCATATGGGCGAGGTGTAGGTCACCAAATCAGACGGCACTGTAAATCAGCAGGTGGAGGTTGGACTCAGAGACACCCTTGGATTGTCCAGGCTTTGGAAAATAAAACAATAAAAGGTGTGTTCTTAACTCAATTGCCTCGGGGGCATTAGCAAACTCCATTTCAAACAGCGCTGAAAGCAAGGTGAGGTACCTGGGATGGCAGCTCAAAATGAATCCCACCTGAGCTCAAGCGGTTAACTCCCATTAGTTCCCAGGTTCCTTTGTCTCTGGTGTTATTTTAGTGACAGCAAGCTCACGGCGGTTAAGAATGCACTTTTTTTGTAGTATAGACATCTCCTCAGTTATGATTCATGTCATTCTGCTGCATAGGCTTATTGAAATTCCTCAACATGTCACTCACCCTCAAGGCTTCATCACACTGTGTGAGTATGACTATAAAACTGTGCTGAAACAGAATTAATTTGGGACTTGCATTTATTGTCGTTTTTATGCAGCTGAACTTTGTTCTGGTAGGCAAAACTCATAGTATCATTCGATATGGAATGACCAGTGTAAAGGTTTTGATTTACAAAAGTTTTATTTCAGTATTTGCCTTGATTTTGACTGCCCAGACTGTCCTATTGAACACATTTTGCCATTATCATTTTGTTTGTCAGACAGTGATTTGAAAATGTGCCTGGTTATATAGAAGATCTCAGCAGCACCTTTTTTATGTGCTTTCCCTCCATTTTGTGACCCAGGGCTTGCTGTTGGTCTGGATCCACAAGGCTATGGGAACCCTGATTTCTGCTGGTTGTCTGTTCATGACACCCTTATCTGGAGTTTCGCTGGGCCCATTGTAATTGTTGTAGTTGTAAGTATGGTGGAGTTGGCATCCTGAGCTGTCTCTTCCTTGCTGCTACTTTTTCTTTTATGTTTTGTCAACCAGTAGTCATAATGTGAAGTGACTGTATTTACATTTGAAGCTGGTGTACTCGAGCTTGCTTCTTTTGCTTAAACAGATGAGACATGAGCTGAGCTAAGCTCCTGGAAATCAGAGGGCTGCTTGCCAGTGTGAAGATGACTTGTGGAGCAATGGCTGGATGGCCAGAAACCCATTTGTTTTTTCCCCCTTTGCTTTGTTCCATGTTTGAAGGGTTGGTCAGTGGGCTTACAAAACAAATCAACAAAATAAGCCATAACAAGTCCCTTCATCCAGGAGTCCTAAAGGAATATTAAATAATTAAAATTTCAGGAATTTAAAAGAATTGGCTGGTGTTTAACATCTCCCTTAAAACATCTTGAATACCAAGTCTGGTCTCCTCATCTCAGAAAGTATGAAGTGGACCTGGAAGTGGTGTAGACTGGGGTCACAAATCATCAGAGACATGAGACAGCCCCCACTGGAGGAGCAACTAATCGGACTAGAAGCCTTCAGCCTAGAGAAGAGAAAGCTGCAGAGAAGGGGCTAGGGAGGAGCTTGTTGATAGCATGGTGGCCTGGAGAATATGAGCGTGGAGCCAACCGTTCAGTGTCTTTTCCAGCACAATTAGTAGTAGGAAGTGGCAGATTCGGAACAAACAGGATAAGCTATATTGTCGCTCCACAGGGAGTTAAGTTAGAAACTTACAGAAACAAGACAGGGGTGGTGGTAAAGCTCTGCCTGGTTTCAGAAAGTAACTGGGCAAATTCCCAGGAACAATATTCGCAATGAATGATTAAGTACAAATGCACCACCCCACCTAGTACATCCCAGCTCTGGAAATCAGTGGAGGAGTATTAAGAGGAATTATCGCTACATGCTTGCTCTGTTACTATATTCTGCCTTGGCCCAGCTGAAACAAGATGCTGGGCTGAGCAGGCTCTGGTCTGGACAAGGACAGCCATTCTTGAGTTTTTATGTTTCACTCAAGCCTCTTTGCATAGGGCCGTCTTACTGGGTTTCATCCAGATCAAGTCCCAGGATGTTCTTGACTACGTTGGCTCGAAATGAGATGAATCTTGGAACTTCGAGACATGCAAATTGAAGGAAAAATATTCTTGGCACCACAAACCATTTCAGGATAAAAATTGCATTGTCATTGAAAACTGAGCCCTAACAAATTTGTAGAAGGAATCCATGCTGTTATTTCAATTTCCCTTTCAGATAAACACTGTCATCTTTATACTGGCAATGAAAGCATCGTGTAGACGGAGGCAACGTTCATTTGAAAAAACTGGAGTCGTGTAAGTTTGGGTTCAAAAACCTGTAGAAAAAAGTTCTGGCCAGGAATAATAAAGGGACAGAATTGCCTAAAAGCAAGTGGTGGGGTGGGAAATAAATAAGATATTTGGAGGAGACAGTCAGAATTGGTAGAGGCGATTGGAGCTGCTTCACCAGCACCTACTTCTGGGGTTCCCTTGGAGGCTCTGTAAAAACTCCACCATGGTGCTCTGCACCACCACCCAGTGTAGGCAGGAGAAGGGAGGGGAGAGGGAAAGGTCTGGTCTCTGGATGGTATCATTACAGTCCTTCCAGGTCTTCCATCGTACTCCCTACTACACTGTCACTTCACCTCCACCCATGGCATGCCCTGGTAGACATAGTTCTGGGTCTTCCCATGCTGGCCTGTGGCTCAGAAAGGTCTCCCCTCATGAATGCCTGGGAGACTGGCTGTGTCATGGCAAGGACCCATTGAGGTTCCTGTGCTGAGGGCCAGCATCCCCCCCATCCTGCTCCCCATGGGACAAGCGGAAAGCCTCACAAGCTGCAACCTGCCGCCTTCCTGAGCTACTGTGGCAGCCTGTTCCCATTAACGTCTGTTTTACCCAAAGCTCAGAATTTACCTGTGAAGTGAAACATGATTAGCTAGTGGCAAGACAGCCCCCTTTTTTTTTTCAAATAGGTAGCTGTATGAGATTTCAGAAGGCTGCTTCCAGCTATTTATTCAGCCCTGGCTGTTGGGTAATTTTTCTAAGTTTCTTTTTTAAATCTCCCTGAACAAATGGAGTATAATTGCTACTTAATGGCAGCTATTTTACTCATAATACAAAACTTTTGCCACTAGAATTGTGACCATCTTTTGAAAGCATCTATGGAAATAATGTTTTTAAGCAAACAAATACTCCCCAAGTGCCCTTGATCCAAAACCTTGGGCTGTAATGTTGAGAACAAATGTGAGAGTGAACTCAACAAACAGAAATGAGACGGATGTGGCCATTTACCACCCAGATCTCTTCCTCAGAGTCAACAAGGCTGAACAGCATGGGCTTGGCAAACAGCCTGGTTTGTTTGAAGAAAACGTTAGAAACGAGCTTGAAAAGAAAACACCTTTTTTTTACCTGAATATGCTAAGTCACTGAGTAGTGCAATGAGAGAGTTGCAAACTGGAAGATGGTGAGCACTTCCCTAAGTTTCCCAAAGGTCCTTTCCAGTTGGTGAATCATTGGGCACGTGGCACTACCCATGTGGAGCAGTTGGACTATTCTATTGTATCTTGTCACGCTGCAAATGCCTGTCTGTGTTTGCTTTACAGCTCTGTGCTGCGAACAGCGTTCCTGCTCTTGCTGCTCGTCAGTGCCACATGGCTGCTGGGGCTGATGGCGGTGAACAGCGACGTCATGACATTTCACTATCTCTTTGCCATTTTCAGCTGCCTGCAGGTAAGTTGGATGGTGTCTTGTCCGTGGCAGACCTCGGTGAGCACACTGCTGCACCCAGACCTCCAAAAACCTGCTAAACATGAGCTGACTTAAGAAGAACAGAGATGTCAAGTACAATTTTTGCTCTCTTTGAGAAAAGAGAGGGTTCTTTTCACCAAAACCATAACTTTGAGTAATTGCATCTCTCACTTTTAGTCATTCTAAAGATAAGTGCTCTACTATTGTAACCTGTGACAGATAAATAACAGAAGGCAATTATACCTCTGTCTTTCTAGAGACAAAAATCTTTATTACTGTATTACCTGCTCATTGTTAACCGTTGTTCTGCTGCTATGGCAAATAAGAGACTGTTTTATTTCACCCAGAGTGGATGGCTCCAAGTTCAAGGCTTTTACAAATTAAGTTACTGTTTAAGGAAATGAGCCAAATAATGATTTGCAGATACAACTCGTTGCATTAGGGATCTACTGGATTGCCTGTCCTGGTGTGCACATTTGTTGATTAAAGATTCAGAACATAGTTAACTTGTAGGAGACCTGGCACAGAACTAGTCATGAAGCTTCATGTTGGTCACAACTTGAATGTGACCAAGGATGGCAGTAACTGTCATGGCAAGTGCCTGCAGTATTAAAACAGTTACTGGTAGCAGACCACTCTTGTCAGCTGCAGCACAACAGCCACAAATTGCAACCAAAAAGAAAATGAAGTCTGATGGGTCTCCTCCAGAGATGACTGTCCATGCCCTGGAAGCATGCCAGATAGGCCAGCCTGGAGCAAGGTTATTTTGCCACTGCAACTGGTGTGCCCTGAAATAAATACACCTACTCAGGCTGTAAAACCAGGCCTCTGCAAGCCTAAAATAAAATTAAATTAAATATAAACCTGATGAGAGGGAGGAAGGTCAGCAGCTGGAATTCTCCAGACTTGCCCAGAGAGGCACAGTGATATGTGGCGTTTCACATCATTACCTTCTTTGAACTTGTATTTTTAAAGAGACATTTATGTGAATTTTATTAATGAATAATCCCAAAGTGCTAATGCCAGCTAAGGTCACATTTGATTGAATGTTTAGAAAGTGAGCTTGAAGTTTAAAGTTTCTCTAAGTCAATTGCTTTGGCTGAAATCATGAAATGCAGGCATCTTGTGATGTTGGTACAGCTGCAACTTCATGAGTGATTGGCTTCTGTATACTGTATCTAACCAAAATTGATAACAATTTGGCAGCTGCATGAATTCACTCAGAGCAAATACATCTGAAGGCAGACACATGTGTGCCCCCTGCCCCCAGTGCAAGCTGTTAATGTGTGTTCCTGGCAGCCAACAACTGCCCAGCCCTGAGGATTTCAGCGATTTTCCCACCAGGAGGGACTGAGGAACTGAGGATCGTATGGGGCAAAAGTTGGGACCTCTCTGCCCCCAGTATCTCTCCAGGTTTCACAAGGCTTTCTAAAGTTCTCTAAGCAACAGTATTAAGGACACCTACCACAGCCCTGTTTCCAGAGGTTTTCACTAAAGCTATGATGTTTTTTATGTGCTGCTATTGATTTTGTCTCATCATCAATGTAAAGGCTCTAAAATCTTAATGCAAGTACAACCATGAAACTCCTGGCAGTGTCTTCCAGTGGGACATTGAGGTCCCCATTAGATACTTTGAGAAGAATGTTTCCTCCCAGACAGCAGGGAGAGTGAAAGCTACCACAAGGTCTGCTCTGTAAATCCTGGAGGAACACATCATTGTGTATGTTTTCCCAGGCCATTTATGCACATTTGAACATGGAAGCAAATTATGAAGAAGTCCTAGGAGATCAATCAATGCCATTTCAGTCAAAGACACAAAATAGTTAATGCTACTGAAATCATGAACTATGAACTAGAATTCAGAGGTTATTTCAAAAAGGCTGTTCTCTAATATCTGTTTGTATTTGCAGTTTGGTAGTAATGAATCATTTAGATTTATTCTTCCTCTCTCTAAAATGATCCAGGGGCTGTTCATTTTCTTCTTCCACTGCGTTTTTAACAAAGAAGTCAGGAAGCACTTGAAGAACACTTTAACTGGAAAGAAACCTCTTCCAGATGATTCCACTGCAACAAGAGCTACATTATTAACTGTAAGGAAAAAACACTGGGAAAAAACATCCTCTTGCTGGTAGAAGTTACCTAAATAGGTGGCTTGTCCGTAGTTATGTGAATTGTCTGATTGATTTCAGTGACTTGTACAAAGATTACCAATCGCCTCTCTCAAAAGTTTTGATTACTGTTTTAATTAAAACCTTGGAGAGGAAATAATTTTTTTCCTCAGCATCAAAAACCACTTGGTTCCTTCAAGACTTTTAATGCACTTGTGGGTAGCGTGGGGTTTTTGATAGGATCATTCACTATTGCTTTGTGTCTTTTTTTTTTTTTTTCCCTTCAGCGATCTCTGAACTGTAACAACACATATATAGAAGAACCAAATATGTATCGCACAACTATTGGGGAATCCACTGTCTCCCTAGAAAGCACCGTCAGGTCAGCCAAGAGCCACAATAGCTACCTTGCTTATATTCTCAGGTAATCAGGTGGCAGATGCATGGCTTTCAGGTGCTTGCCTTTCCCTTTTCATTGCTCTTGTGGAAAACAGAAATGTTTTGGTTCAATTGCTACTTGTTTTATGTCTTAACAGTTCTGGTTTATGTGACTGTCATTTTCTTCCATGCATTTTCTTTTGCATGCGTCTTCAATGGGGAGTTCCAACAGTGCAGTGGTTAACATAACTATTAGGATAACTATATGGGCTGTGCTGCTTGCCTGTTAAAATTCAGTCATGTCTCAAGGAGTGGGATTTAGCTTATTGACTTCAGGCTTTTTCAGTGTGTGATTCATGTGGCCAAAGGCAGACAGCTACATTAGGATAACCTATGCCCTGCTGTAAAAGTGACCACATTGACAATCAAGCACAGGCTGACTGGTGTCCACTGCAGCTGTCTGTGTTTGACTAGAAGAATCTCATCTTCATGTCTGCCTTGCTGTTAAGAACAGTGAAGTGACCGAGAAAGTTGTCCCCTGTTTTTATTCTCTAAGGGATGAGGCTGCTCATAAGCTCAGTGGATCCTCAAGTCAAGCAAGGGCTGGTCAGACTGAAGCAGATTCCTCCATTTTTCATAGGAATCCATCAAAATCCAATGGTAAGAATTATTCTAAATGCTTTGACCCAGTTGTGCACCTTTTCCTTCTCAGCACTTTTTTCAAAGGCTTCTATAATAGGAAGAATAGTTAGTCTGACTTGGTGTGTCTGATTCTCGTTATGCTCTTGGCATAACGAGCTATGCAGTGGTTGCTTTACTAGGGAGTCCTGGCATGGAAATATCATGTATCTGCTTCTTGTGATGGTTTGGTTTTAATCTGACAGCTGTCACAGCTGTTGACAGTTTCTGGCGTCCCCTTTCTTTCTCACAAATTATGTGCTGTTGCTCTTTATTTTTAATTTGAGATCTTTTAACATTTAAGACCTTGAGGCAATATCCTTTTTTACTGCTATGTGTTTTGTACAAGAAAATGAGAAGCGTCTCTGGCCTGACTTCCTTTCGTTTGGGTTCTTAATGTTAAATTTTGTTGCCTTGTAGCAGTTTTTAAGAGTGCATTTGCAGATTCTTGATATTTCTAGGTACCTTAGTTTGCCTCTGTGTTGTGTTGATTGAGATCCTGTGGAGTTACTGTGCTGCATATTGACTAGAGTAAGAAGTGGCCCGATTCTGTTCTGCACCTCCCACGCACATAAAAGGTCCTGCCCCTTAGCTGAGCCAAGCAATTGTGCTTCCCATAATTACTTTGATGGATGCCACAGTCCTTGTGAATTAATCCTATATACACTTATGGACATAAGAGCTTATCCCTGGCATGGCCTGAACCAGATGCCTGCCTTTCCTTTCTCCTTGTGCATTTGTCAGCTAGATTTGTTCGACTCCGGTCCACGCTCTCATCACTGTGTTTCCCCTTTCCACGGCTGCAGAGCACGATTCAGACTCCGACAGTGAACTGTCCCTCGACGAACACAGCAGCTCTTACGCCTCTTCCCATTCATCAGACAGCGAGGAAGATGGGCTCGAGCCAGAGAAGAAGTGGAACACGTCCACTTCCAAAAATAATGAACGTGGCCCGCTCCACAGCACACCCAAAGGTACTCCCAGTGCGAGGGGAGAGCAATGGGCTTATTACCTTTTTAAAAATAGCTTTAGAGTAGATGGGACAATTTTGCCAGACTAGCAATACAATTGAGATAGCATCCCTATCACTGGGCCTTGCTTTTTCTTCCTCCCAAGGGCTTGTTCACAGGGCTGACTGAGTAAAGTAAAAGGATGCTTGAGCAAATCTGCAGCTTATGGTACTCAGCAGTCAGTGGGTTTGCAGGCAGGTGCTACACAGCCAGGAAAGCCTCATGTGAAGGAAGAGGAGAGGAGAAAAGAGCTGGTTATTTTGAGGGCAGGGGGAAGAAATACCTGCCTCTCCTCGTGCAATACAGGCATATGGATTTAGTGGGGTTGGGGAGGTCATGAACCTAAAGAGTGGGAGATCATTGGCCATTGATATCAGTACTGTGTGGCAGAATGCAGGCATTTCTTAGGCGCAGTTCATCTTGTCCTAAAGATGTCAGCTTAGAGTGACAGATGTCCAGGCTGTGTGCCGGTGCTCTGCACAGACACAGCATAAGGTGCCTCAGGGCTACCTGAAAGGAGGTTGTACTGAGGTGGGTGTTGGTCTCTTCTCCCAAGTAGTTAGTGACAGGACGAGAGGAAATGGGCTTAAGCTGCGCCAGGGGAGGTTTAGGTTGGAAATTAGGAAAAATTTCTTTACGGAAAGGGTGGTCAAGAATTGGAATAGGCTGCCCAGAGAGGTGGTGGAGTCCCCATCCCTGGAAGTATTTAAAAAACGGGTAGATGTGGCATTCTGGGACATGGTTTAGTCTAGTCTACCCTTGATTGGCTTAGAGTAGACTTGGTAGTGTGGGTTAATGGTTGGACTGGATGATCTTAAAGGTCTTTTCCAACCTAAATGATTCTATGATTCTAGGGGCTCTCACCCCTCAGAAGCCAGAATCCCCAGGGAGCTGGTGGGATTGCCAGCCCTGGAGAGCTGAGAGAGCAGGTTTGACTCACACTTCTCAGTAATGGAGCCAGCAACCTTGCTCTGGGAAAGGTTTGGACACCCTGCCATCCTACCAGGCATGTTTTGTGGGTGTTGCTGCACCCCGAGGGCAATGCAGTCCAGCAGGGATCATCTGAAGCATTGCTCTGGTTTGACACACAGCCACAGGGAACAGGACTGGCTGGGCAGCCGTTGAGAAAACCTATCAAAAGTGGTTTTCAAGCTAGTGTTTTTTTGCATTGCAGTTGATACCCTTCCCAATCATGTGAAACCCTATTGGCCCACAGAGTGCGTAACGGCCAGCGACAGCGAGGACCCCAGCGGGAAACAGAAACTCAAAGTGGAGACCAAGGTCAACGTAGAGCTTCACAGGGAAAACCAGGTGAACCACAGCAACGAAGCACCCCAGGACAAGGAGAATGAAGGGCAGCAGAAGGAGAACAGACCTCTGTCCCACCAGAATAACCAGCAGCCAGAGCAGAGGAAAGGTAGCATGGCCAACCCAGCCTCACAGCTGGACTGGGAGACCGGGGGGTTAATGAGCATTAACTAGCTCATGTGCTATTTCTGTCAGGGAAGAGCACTTTCCAAATGACTCCAACCTGTGCAACCAGATATGCCATGGGAAGCTAGTAGGTAGTTGCTGAAGTCTAATATTTTGGTTTTGAAATAAAGTGACAAACTAGAAGTCTGACTAAGAAATATAAAAAGTCACTTCTTGGATGTGTTCAGCTTGATAAATGAAATTACCAGTACATTTCAAAATTCTCATTATTCCCTCTTTTCTGTAACAGGCATCTTAAAAAATAAAGTCACCTACCCTCCCCCACTGGTGGACAAGAATATGAAGAATCGACTGCGCGAAAAGCTGTCAGATTACAATCAGACCACGATCTCATCCAGGACTACTTCCCTGGGGACAAATGATGGGGTCCGCTCTCCCTCGGACTCAGGGGTGACAGTAAAAAATGCTCGGAGGGAGCAGTCTCGAGACCAGCTCAACGGCATGGCCATGAATGTCCACGTGGGAACAGGACATGCTGACACCTCAGAGTCGGAGTAAGTGTTTTTTTGGAAGTGTTCAAAAAACAGGTAGATGTGGCACTTCGGGATATGGTTTAGTCTAGTCTACCCTTGATTGGTTTAGGTGGGCTTGGTAGTGTAGCTTAATGGTTGGACTGGATGATCTTAAAGGTCTTTTCCAACCTAGACGATTCTATGATTCTAAGTGCCACATCGGGATGCCCTGGCAGACCTCCCGTGGCTCTGGCGTCTTCTTCCACTTTCTAGCCCCAAACTCCCACTGAGCAAGAATTTCACTTGGTGACTGGACCAGAGTCCTTCACCAGTGACTGTCTGGAGTGCTTGTCCATACCATGTATGCAAACCATGGTGTTTCACTAATGAGAAGGCCAAAAGCAGGTATGACAAGCAAGATGTCGTGACAGACATCTGTCACTGGTCGCCCTGGCATGCTCCAAATTGGCAAGCTGATGTGTTACTGGGGCACTGGGGACTAGAGCAACCTGTCCCCTTGCTGTGGGACTTGCTGCACTCGGCATGGTGACCCCTGGTCACAGTGAACCAGGCTCCCACATCCATACAGATTATCCATCCCTTCCCTGGCTGGTTAGCTGCCAAGGTCATTGCCTTCCCCAGCCCATCACCAGGACAAGGATGGGCTTTTCCCACTCCCACACGCTGCCAGGCATCCAGGACAGCTCAGCAATGCCCACCCATGACCCCAGGAGCCATGCATGCCCTCAGGGGTGCTCTGCTCAGGGCTACCCCCTTCTCCTACTTCTCTGCCCCCAACCCCTCACCTTCACCTGCCTTGGACCATGGGAACGGTTGTTTTTTCCTCTGTTTTTCACCTGTCCTCCCCTTTTGCAGCAGGGAGAGTGTTTGGGGCCGTTAGGAACCTATCACTAATGGGGTACAGTTAATTATTATGTTGCCAGTACCAGGCACCCAAGGAAGAGGATAAATGCGGGGCAAACATGGAGCAACACTTCTTGATGTGTGTCCAGTAAGCCCAGCAAGAGCTGTTGTGAGTGTCTGGCAGCCAGCATGGAGGAGGGCTGTTGGGGGCAAGACCCTAATGAAGAGGACCCCTGAGCAAGCCCAGTGTTTTGTGGGGAAAGGCGCTAGGCTGGGTGGAGCATGGGGTCGGTGTCCAGCTGGGCAGAGGGAAACCATTGCTGGGGCAGGAGATCCAAAGGCTGCAGAGAATGTGCCATGTCAAGCTAGGGACCCTAAATTACCAGGTGCACGATTCCCACCCGCTGTATGGTGAGCAGTGTGTGTATTTGCCATTGTAAGCTAAATTAAACATTAACAAAAGGCTGAGCAAGCTTTCAGCCAAAGGGTGTTCTCAGAAATCTTGTCACTCATTATAATTCTTGCATTTAAACTGAGGACAACAGCCATAGGTAAAGTCTCCGCAAACATTTTACACACATAGTCTTCCTTGTATTAACACAAATAGTCTCATCCTTTCTCCAAACCAAGGGAAAACTTCTCACCCAGCTTTAAGTCTGACATTGTCCCACCATGCTTTAGACACCCATGTTGTCTGGGTGCACAGACCTTTCCCAGCTCACTATAAAAGTACATCTTTGGGTTGCTGGGAACTGGCTGTTGAAATATATCCTGGTTAGCCAGGAAACAGAGATGTCTTTAAAAAGCGGTAACTACTTGCTGCTACCAGGTAATACATTCATCACTGGAGAATAACTAGCCAACTTGTACTAAGCAACTGTGTTATCTCCACACCTTTTACATACTGTAAAACTCTGCTGTTTGACAGCAGAATGCATAGATCTGGCTGAAATACCAGGTTTCTAACAGCTTGTAAGATTTGTGTGTGAACCTCACATCTTCACCTAAGCATAAGCCAAATACAAGCCCCCCATAGAGCTTCCTCTAAGGAGTGCATCTCTTGTGTACTACCTGGAATTGTTCCTCGCAGCTCCCCTCCAGGGCAGCATCCCCCTTGCAAGCGTTGGATTGGCAAGGCATGGTAACTTCCCGGCGCACGAGCCCTTACTAAAAGGGATTAGGTGGTTTTGGGTGGAGTGGTTTGCCTGTGCCTGTTTAACCCTAAGCCTGCATGATTACTTCTTCTCGCTAACAGAGGCAGTAACGAAACTTCAATTTGAACCATCAGGAAACTGTGATCGCTGCTGCGCGGTTCTGGACTGCTTGCCGCGGGGTCGCCGCCTGCCTGCCTCGGACTTTGTCGGAGTGGCCACGTAGCAAGGAGGACAAGGTGGGCATTGATTCCCGCATGGTTTCACATTATGGCAGACTCCTGACCGCTCGCAGCGGAGACACAGTGCCCAGGTGCGCCTGCAAGAAGGCTGCTGTGCGGTACGCGCTGCGCGGCATGAACCCATGCCAAAACGGACGGAAATGGCCACAGGGATGCACTGTGAGGGACGGGTACCTGATCGCCGTGCAGACAGTGCTGCAGGGGTTGCTTATTACTGGGGAGAACCAAGGGATAACACGTTATTATCGCAGTGGACCTACAGTAAGTCAATCCATCAGCCTTAAGACAAGCACCAGGAGACGTCTCTTGTGGAGTTTTGTCCGGCTACAGTGTGAACCCTTCGGCTTGCTGAGGTCTAGGGAGGAATATCCCAACAAGTGTCCTTTTGTTTCTATGCCAGCATCTCTATCCACCCCCCTATGGACACATCGTCTTAAGAAAAAAAATAAAAACCTTTATATATATATAAAAAGTGTAGATACTTTTATATATTTTGTATGGTGTTGCTAAAGAAAAAGTTCCTTTGTATATTTTACATTTATACTGATCTTAATTTGATAATAGGAAATCAATTAAAAGGGGCTTTGATATTTTTTATATGAACATTGCACAATTTTACTTGAATTTGGCATTTGATAAAGTAACTGAGGTTTGCATGGAAGCCACCTTAAGATGCAATGCAGTTTTCAAAGTAATGCAGTAAAGATTACATTGAAATCCATGACTAATTTATAAGTTTTGTTGACAGATTTTGGAACACTTTAAGGACACAGTATGTTTTTTTCATAACCTCTTCTAAAACCCACAAAAAAATGTTTTGTTTTTTCATTTCTTGGTGTTTTGACCTCTTCTCTGAAGTGCATTGAAATGTTCAGCAACTGAACTTCAAGACTAAAAATAAGTCATGTCTTTGTCTAAGATATCAGCACAGTCCTTTTCTGGAAGAAGTCAAATCAGTATTTCCCTTACCAAGAACAAGACGACAACTGGTGTCATCGTATGGTAGGTTTTGACCCTGTGACAAACCAGTGCTCTGCATGTCCCAAGAAGAGGGCCCCCCTCCTGTGGGGCAAGTGCTGCCTCAGGCGCAGTATTTTATTTTACTGTTAATTTCTTTCCCACTGGAGTCAGTACGTTGCTAATTGAAGCAGAAATCTGAGTCTTTAAGGATGTCCAGGCTTCACTGCCCAGCTCTTTGACAAAGCCCTGGTCTTCTTGGTGTTTCAAAAAGCACATGGAAGGCTTAAGGTTTCGTGTTTCCCACAAAATATGCTTGTTTCACAAGTATAGGAAAGTTAAGCGTGGCCTGTCCCCCATCTTCACCTTCCTGCAGTGTTTACAAGTAAAGGAAGAATAAGATGTGAAAAAGTTTGCATCCAGCAGCATGGGGCAGAGCTCTGCTGGGGGCTCCCCGGGACGGGAATATGTGACTCAAAGGGTGGCAATGGGGTGGCCGTGACCTGCTCTCTGCCACCAAGGCTTTCAGGAGCTCCTCGCTCGCTGTAGCAGCCCTTTTGGGAAAATATTGGCTTTTCCTTGTGTAACTGTGTGTGTAAAAGGGAAAAAACAGAAAATCAGGCTAAATAAAATGCAGGAGTTGAGGAGAAAATGAGATAATATATACTGTAATCTCGGTTTCATTATATTGCTACGCATTCTCAAATGTATTCAGGAGGCCTTTGGAAGGGGAGAGGAAGGAAGGATGCTATTCCTTTAAAAATTATGCAACATACTGTGTGACATTTTCTGACTGAAAGAAGTTTTGAATGTTTTAAGGGTCTGGCACTTGGCTGTGTGCTCAGGCATTGTGTATAACCCACGCTAGTTGTTTTTACATCTGTGTATGTATATTTTGTCCCAGTGAGATGTAGGTAGTTTATTTTGATCAGAATTGTTGCAGTAAATGAGGGTCAGTTGTATTAATGACAAAAAAATTAAAACCTATTTTTATGACTTTTTAAAAGCTTTATGGCAGATTAGACACTGGAGGTTGGTTTTTTTTAACAAATGTATATTTATTAATGTGCAGAACACTGGAATTGCAGCACAGATGAAAGGAGAATTTACAATAAATTAAGAATTTTTTTTTTGAACTTGTGTTCTTCCTCTGGTGGTTTATTTTAAGTGCAGTACAGATGCTGAGGGTCCAAATGGTATTTCCCACGGTTTAGAAAGTAGCAGGAGGGGGGATGTATGGGTACCCATCGCTCTCGCCGAGGAAGCAGAGGCTGTAAAGCATCAAGCCACCAGCGCTGCTCCCTGCGGGATGCTTCCAGCCCCAGGTGGTGTCTTGTGAAGGGTTGGCTCTGGGTGGACACGGACAGGCGGACAGACACGGACACGGACACACACAATCCCCCATCCAGCCCAGTGCCCTTTGCTGGCACGGGGTGCCACCACGTGCATTGCATTCCGGCTAAACCAACAGCATTTCTCGCACCTGGGAAACGGTCTGAGGAAGAAAAACACCCTCCGCTAACCCGGAGCGAAGTGGGCTGCCAGGAAAGCACTGGGTTTAGAAAACAAGGTTTGGAGAGGAGCTAGAGGGGGTGAGGCAGCCAGCCCAGCCCGTGAAAGCCTGCAATGAGAAGGACCTTTTTGGACTTTCTTGGCTACGTTCTTGGCTTTCTCAAGCCAACTGAGGCCGGGCAGTGGTCTTGCTCACTCTGTACTTCTCAGGCTGTTGTGCAAGTCTTCATTCACGCGTCTCATGAGGCACAGCAGTGACCTGCACATGTCTGCCAGCTTTCTGGAAATAAAAGTATTTCTCAGTATCATCTGGCCAGCTT